GGTTACGGGTTCATCGGATGGATTCATCGGTTTGAGAAGCTTCCTCTAGCATCTCGTGCCGCCATCCTTCGTCACTCTTTGCCGGGCTCTATTACTGCTTCATTTTGGCCCGTTCTGAACACATACAAAAACCACATGCAGAACGGTCCGTTCTGAAATCAGAACGGCCCGTTCTGGAACTCATCCAGAACGGCCCGTTCTCCATCCAAAACGGCTCGTATTCCCCTCCAGAACGGCTTGTTCTCCCTCTGGAATGACCCGTTCTCCAACCAGAACGGCCTGTTCTCCCTCCAGAACAGCCCATTCTCAGCTACGATTTACTAGTCATTTTAATAGCTTGGAACGGCCCGTTCCAGATTGGAAACGGCCCGTTCTGGGCTACTAAAACACCAACTTGCTACGTCACACCAATTCCACTGTGTGACTTTCATGACAACACTCCAACCCTATTTTTTCCCTACTTGCATACCATTATGATCATCACAGTCCATACCACGTGGAAACACACAAAGGTAAACTATAGTAAAAGGAAACAACATAAATATATCGCAAAAACATCACGTCATCATTTCAACTTGAACAACACAATATACAACACATAAATTAACACAATGCAACACTAACTATTATCACAACATCATAGATCATCTTAATACAACATAACACATGAATAACACAACCAACTCAACACATCATATACTCAACATAGCAACTCACATTTTTTGTCACGCATTTCAATCAGGAGATTTCCTACAACACAAGATGAGTAGTTTAAGTGACTTGATTCTACCAAGTCGACAACACAAGGTGATATTTTTGGGCTTACTAGATCAACAGTAAAATATATATAAATCCACAACATAATAACGCAGTTTATCGGATGTCGTCACTTAAACAAGGAAATATAATATTAATGACAAGATCAAACAGTTGGCTACAGGTTTATCACGACATTAGCTAACATAACCAAGCCTCTTGTGGGATTAGCCCACTGATTATCCTCCAAATACTACAACCCTCTAATACTAGGTTAGGAACTAAGTTTTCGATGTTGTAATTTACTCAATTTGTCACTTGTAATCAATATAGCTTGATCTGACCCCTATAATGTGGTTGTTTCATACATGTGTACCTCGATCCCGTCCACACACAGTGCTAACAAAGTCCCAAAGGAGAATAATACAACATCCACCTAAAGAGCCAACTTCCCAAAAATAATTTTTGAACAAATTGAGTTCTTAGAGCACCATAATACAGTATCCACACAATGTGATATGCAACTTTCAGAAACATCTATAATCTTTAGTGGTCAACACAACTCAATAACACAACTCATTATAGTTTTCAACACAATCATCACACAACTTCGCATCTCATAACTCAATAATCCTAACTATTTTTTTCCAACTTTATAATCAACTAACATCTCGACAACTAATGACATATTCAACACACTACACAACCAACATACAACATAGTCAACACAAAACTCATGTCACATATCTACTCATTCATTTTGACACACAACAACTCAAATTAATAAGAAAAAAACACTTCATCAACCATACCATCATGTTTCACTTCAGCAACTCATGCCCAACGTTCCTCACCTTGCGATGACATCATCCAAGCAAGGAGTTCTCTGCCTCACCCACAACTAGTGCTACACAACCTACACTTGTCGTGGCTAAGGCAAAGGCCACTGTGTTAGGATGCAAGCAAAGTCTCACATCATTCAAATAAGAAGATGGACATGGGTTTATATACACACAATTGTCTTCATTAGTAGAGAGGCTTTTTGGGTGGTGTCCAAAAGCAAAACTGTGAGGGTCTGGACCCAAAGCGGACAATATCTCACCAATATGGAGACATGTGTATATGTGTGGTAACCCCCGGTGCATAACAAGTCAGAGCCGATGGTCTGATCAAGTGACATGCTCGACGAGTATGATGGCCGGTAGGTGGATCCAAGTTTGAGATCCCTTGTGTCGAAAGTCTTCCTAAACGGTGGAGTGTTAAGAGGCATGTCCCGCTATCATGAGGGATGTCATGATGGAGTGACGGTGCAAGCACTTAGAGTGTGAGTGAGCTTTGTAGGCCACCATTGGATAATACTCATAGTTTTCGCTACAGGGGAGGGGGTAAACCGGTGCAAGCACTCAGAGCGTGAGTGAGCTATGTGGGCCACCATTGGATAATACTCGTAGTTTTCGCTGCAGGAGGAAGGGGTAAATCGTGGTCCTTTGTTTGAGGGGAGGATTGTTAGGATGCAAGCAAAGTCTCACATCATTCAAACAAGAAGATGGACATGGGTTTATATACACATAGTTGTCTTCATTGGCAGAGAGACCTTTTGGGTGGTATCCAAAAGCAAAACCGTGAGGGCTGGACCAAAACCGGACAATATCTTACCAATGTAGACATGTGTATATGTGTGGTAACCCCCTAGTGCTCAACACCCTGGGACCTCATGACTGACATGATAAAACACCATGCCCAACTCTATCTCAAGCAAAAAGTCTTTGCTCGAGTCTCGCTTAGTGTCATCACCTTGACGCCCAACAAAATCCAAAAAAGAGTTTTGGCTTGATCATGCTAGGCGCCACACAACATTGAGTCCAACGTCATCAAATCAAAGAGTTCCCATGATTCCCACACCCAACGTCATTCAACCATGCTCGATGCAGTTCCAATCCGATAAGAGTCATTCTCTTCATGTCTAATGTCATCAATCCTAATTCCTACGCCTATCGTGGTCGAGGTAAAGAGCCTCGAGTTAAAACAATGCCTGGCGCCTTGAAGGTGTGCCCAACGTGCAACACCAAACAACTATAAACATCAATTCAACATATATGTACACTTAGATTCAACATGCGACCACAAAAAACATCAATCACCAAATTTTTTCACCAAGAATCCAAACCCCAACTTTTAACACACATCACCTTCGAATTTAATCCACACACAACCATGAATGGAAAAGATTTTGCGCAACATACAACATCACCACCACCATCCACTCATCAACTTCGTAAAACAAGAATCTAGCTTCCCTTATCTTGGGCAACTCGATTTTAAGGTAGAAGAAGAAGAATATCAAGTCTCTACGGCACTGTTTCGATGTCTTACCCACATAAATCTGCCTATTATTCTCTTGAATCCAACAACAACGCAACTTAATGAGATTCAGAGGAAGAAAAGAAGAATATTTGAGAGAAAAAAAGTTCACAAATGAGAGACATTATTTCTAAAAATCATCTCTCTAAAAAGATGAGGAAAAAAGTTTAAGATTATGTTCAAAACAGAAACCCAATAGTTAATGAAAATATCGACCCAACATATAATAAAAATTTCTATGCAGATGCAATATTGGTTGTTAGTCCTCTTAATTCAAATGTTATAGAATCACATTTGTAACACAATGATCAATAAGTAAAGTATAAATCATAGTCTCATAACCTTATATAAAAATCTAATAAATTCCTATTTTTACTTTTGTGTTGTAAATATTAGTATTTTTAACAAAAGGACTAAGCTTTTTGTTTGGAGTTTATTTTTTTCAAGTATATCGGACAATTTTTAGGAATAAATTAAACATTTAATTATTGATTAATTAAATTATTTATTACTAAATTAATTAATTACAAGTAATTAAATTAATTATAATTAAAATTATAATTCAATATTAATTTAATTTTATATTATTTATTTATGAATTACATATATATGATTTAATAAGGAGATATGATAGACTCTTATAAAAGTAAAGTGATGCATTTAATAAAAATTTCATGTCCAAGTCAAAAATTGAACTTTGATTTTTTATTATTAAGGAGCACAAATGTTGCACAACTTATGTTAACGACCTTAAAATTTTTTGGACTTAACTAATGTTTAAACTTAAAAGTTTATGATAATAATCATGTGATAAAACCAGTCAGACAATTAATAAAATTTTTTAAAAAATAATATAAGATTATTTTTTGGTTAGTTTTGAAACTCTCTTTTTAAGAGATTTTGACTATGTTTGTGACCCTTTTTTTTTGTTTTGTGTAAACATCACATGACACAATTTTAATGTGATTGAATTTAATAAAATAAATTTTACATATTGAATCAATTTAAAAAGTATTCAAAATTATGGTCAAAAATATAAATATTTATTGTTTTATAAAGATAATATTCACTCAAATTTAATTATTATTCCATAAATACATTTTTAGTCATAATGTTTAATTTTTATTAATATTTTTTAGTCTTAATAATACAAAATAAAAAAAATGTATTTCAATAATAAACATTGCAAGTAAGAATAAAAAAACACAAAACATTAATAAACCTAATTTAAAATAATTTGGACTTAAAAAAATATATAATTTAGTATTTCAGTCACTTTAATATAAAAAAAATACAACATTATAAAAAATTTTAAAAAATGAATAAAATGATTTAAAAATTACAAATATAAAATTAAAAAAGATTTTATAAAGACTATTTTAAAAAAAAAATATATATATATATAAAGAATGAAAATATCTATTTCAAATTATAAAAATTAAAAATTAAAACTTAAAAAACTTATAAAAAAAACATTTTAATTTTTCTTCTCATAAATATAATTTATACAATATATCAAAATTGAATTTACATTCATAAAATATAATTTTTACTGAGCATTATTTTAACATAAATACAAATCAAATAAGCCAAAATTGATCCCGAATCCCAAGTATGACCAGCCAATCAAATCTGGGCAAGCATTTTAAATTTTAACCATATGTGTATAGTCATAAAACATAGGAAAATGATGTATCCTCGAAACTCATGAACCGAAAATTTGAAATTGAATTTCTGTCAATTAATTTACTAATATAAAAATAATCATTTAATGTAATATTAACTACTTTTTTTCTTTTTTTGGAAGATAATTGGGCACATGGTATTTGGTGGGTGCACTGTATCTCTTAATTAAAACCCCAGCAAGAGCCATTCTCTCTCACTCTCACTCTTCATTACCTTCTTCACTCTCACTCACTCTCTCAGGTACTCTCTCTTTCTTCATCTTTCTTACTCTCTCTCTCTTCTTCTTCTTTTGCTTCTCTTCCTCGCTTTTCTCCGGATAATCCTCCAATTCTTTCTTTTGTCAACGTGAGTCTCCTTTTTACTCTTTATTTTCTTTTTCGCACCTTAAAATCTCAGATCTTTCTTAGCTGCTGCTGGATTTTTATTAACCCTTACATTATTCGCGGTTACATGCACATGCACCCACCTCTCTTTTCATTTTACATAATTATTTTTTCATAATTTTATGTAGCAATCATTATAGTTCACACTGTCCGGGAATTTCTCTTAATTTATCTTTTTTGCTGTTTTCTGACTTTATATTAATTGATGCTCCGTGTGTGTGTGTGTGTTTTTACTATATGTAGATAACTGTTGATTTGAAATATTTGATACTGTATCAGGAGTGTGTAATTTATCTCAGCAATGTCGGATCTTGAGGCTCCATTGCGTCCTAAGAGGAAGAAGATTTGGGTGGACTATTTCGTTAGCTTTCGATGGATCATTGTTATTTTCGTGGTCCTTCCCATATCCTTCACTCTTTATTTTCTTACATACCTTGGGGATGTGAGATCTGAGTGGAAGTCCTACAAGACTCGGCAGAAGGAGCATGATGAGAATGTGAAGAAGGTTATAAAGCGTCTCAAGCAGAGGAACCCATCTAAGGATGGTCTTGTCTGCACTGCTAGGAAGCCCTGGATCGCTGTTGGGATGCGAAATGTTGACTATAAAAGGGCCCGTCATTTTGAGGTTGACTTATCTGCTTTCAGGAATGTGCTTGAGATCGACAAAGAACGGATGATTGCAAGAGTGGAGCCTCTGGTCAACATGGGGCAGATCACTAGGGTCACTGTTCCCATGAATCTTGCCCTTGCTGTGGTTGCAGAGCTTGATGATCTCACTGTTGGGGGTCTTATTAATGGCTATGGTATTGAAGGAAGCTCTCACAAATATGGCCTGTTCTCTGACACTGTGGTGGCGTATGAGATTATTTTGGCTGATGGCACTCTTGTTAGAGCCACCAAGGACAATGAGTACTCTGATCTGTACTATGCCATTCCATGGTCTCAGGGAACACTTGGCCTCCTTGTTGCTGCTGAGATCAAGCTTATACCCATTAAGGAGTACATGAAGGTGACCTACAAGCCTGTTGTTGGCAACCTCAGAGATCTCGCACAGGGGTATATCGATTCTTTTGCTCCCAGAGATGGAGACCAGGATAATGATGAGAAGGTTCCGGACTTCGTTGAAACAATGATTTATAATCCGACCCAAGGTGTGATGATGACAGGAAGATATGCTTCAAAGGAGGAGGCCAAGAAGAAGGGGAATAAGATCAACAGTGTAGGATGGTGGTATAAAACCTGGTTCTATCAGCATGCAGAGACGGCTCTGAAGAAAGGAGAGTTTGTAGAATACATTCCTACCAGAGAATATTACCACAGGCACACAAGGTGCTTGTACTGGGAGGGAAAGCTTATCCTCCCGTTTGCTGATCAATGGTGGTTCAGGTTTCTGTTTGGCTGGTTGATGCCACCCAAGGTTTCTCTCCTCAAGGCTACTCAAGGTGAAGCTATAAGAAACTATTACCATGAAATGCATGTCATCCAGGACTTGCTTGTTCCATTGTACAAGGTGGGAGATGCTTTAGAATGGGTTCACCGCGAGATGGAGGTATATTTTCTTCTTACCCATCCTTTTTTTTTTTTTAATTTCTTCTTACCCATCCTAAATAGTGCTTTTCATTATTTTTTTCAGATTCTGTTTGAACAAGGCAAAGTTGTTTAACATTCTAATTTTAATCATATGAAGCTAAAGTTGGGGTTGAACTGTTATTTTACTGGCAAAATGTCACTTTTATTGTCTATTATTATGGTGTAAAGTAACTCCATGGTTTTTTTCCCACTCAGTATTATATTTTATAATCTAAAGCAATACGTTGTGCTTTACTTTTTCAACTCATGCAGGAGATTTATCTTTTGAAGGAAAATTGAAGTAATGAGTATTTTACCTTTTCAATGTAGTGTTACTAATTTGTCTGAGTAGTACTAATATATTCATCATTTCAATTAAAGCTGTCTCTGGAATTCAGTTTTCTTTTATAATTCAGTTGATGTAGTCTTGTAATTTTGTTTCTTACATTGATGGTTGTCAATACATTAGGTATACCCCATTTGGCTCTGCCCACACAAATTGTTCAAGCTGCCTGTTAAAACTATGATTTACCCAGAGCCAGGCTTTGAACTACATCGCAGGCAGGGAGACACCCCAACTGCTCAAATGTACACAGATGTTGGAGTTTACTATGCACCAGGTCCTGTTCTCAGGGGAGAGGTATTTGATGGGGCAGAAGCAGTGCGTAAATTGGAGAACTGGTTGATTGAAAATCATGGTTTTCAGCCACAGTATGCTGTGTCTGAGCTGTCTGAGAAAAACTTCTGGAGAATGTTCGATGCTGGTTTATATGAGCATGCTAGGAGGAAGTATGGAGCTGTTGGGACCTTTATGAGCCTGTACTACAAATCAAAGAAGGGTAGGAAGACTGAGAAGGAGGTACAAGAAGAAGAACAAGCGCACCTTGAAACTGCACATGCAGAAGTTGATCAACCAGTAGACTGATTTTGAATTTTGATTCATAAGATGGTAGTATTTCATTGCATCCTGTTTCGTCCCTATGCAGAAGTTGATCAGCCAGTAGACTTATTTTGAATTTTTATTTATCTAATGGTAGAATTTTATCGCATCCTGTTTCAGTATTTATTGTTTTGCCTTTGTATTTTTGGTTCTCTGGCTTCTGATTGCCTCAGTTCCTGATACTGTTTCGGTGTTTCCAATGTCTTTGATGAATTATTTATGTGGACTTAACATGATGAGTTTAAGTGGTAAGACTATTATGCCTTTGTACTCCAGAAGTTCTTCGGTAAACACAACGCATATGCTGCAGACTCGCAATGGCCTGGTTAAATCCTTTCTCGGCTGTTGCATGTTCATATATATATATATATATATAAAGAAGAATGTCATTGATACCATAGTTTTAAAAACCGGACCGGTCATCGAACCGGTTAAGGTACTGGGTCAGTGGGTCAAAGGTTGAACCGGTGGGTCACTAGTTGAACCGCATGACTCGATTTTTATTTATTTTTATTAAAAAAATATTCATATTAAATATATTTTATACTTATAAATATATATATATATATATATATATATATATATATATATGCATTGTGCATTCTGTTTCGTTACATGTCTTTCTTTGGTTTTGAATTATTATCTGATCCTGTCCGTAATTTACTTGAAACTCTACGCGTTTTTCTGCGTTTGAGATGAATTTTAGACGAGTTCGATTGATTCCTTGACTAAACTGATCATAATTATAGTTACTATTTATTAACATAGCTGAAAAGAACATCTATATATTTTTGCAATGATCTTACCCGTATTTTGACATCTAATGTTTAGTCACGCCTAGGATTGCACGTGAGCAACCTCTTCTGAATGGACCTGTTGTGGACAGGAACTGTGTTTGATTTTACGGTAAGATTATTTACTTTGTCTCTTGTTAAAAGTGATGTAGATAAAGATGTAGATGTTTAGTTATTGTTAAATAAGTTTGTGTTTTTGTTGGACCATTAATTCATGTTTGTTGATGTTTTCAACTATAGTATTTTTTTTTCTTGTTTTTCTACACAGAACTTGAGATGTCACAATAGCTAGCTAAAGTTGACACTGTCAGTGTCAATAATTGATAGAATGACCTGTTTAGTTCTTTTATAGTTTTATATTGTGTTTGCACGAAGAGATTTTTAAATTTAAGGAATTTCTTGAAATTTAAATTATTTTATAAGGATTAACGAAAAAACTTATAAACTTTAGTGAAGAAAAAAAAAACGCTCGACAAAAATTTTATTATATCAACGCACTAACATGTTTGGATTTGTGTTTCGGGAGAACACGTGATTCAAGAACATGTTCGCAAACATTTGTGTTTAGGGAGAACACGTGATTCAAGAACAGGTTTTCAAACATGCATGTCTGATTTCGCGTTAGATTATCTAAAATTACGTTGAAGTGATTATTTTTAAATGAATATTCACATGTTTAGCTTCACATTAATGAATTGACTGAGTTAAATAAATTTAAGTAACTTTTGTGTCAGATTAAAAAATATACATCTAGTTTTATTGCTATCTTTTTTAGAATAAAAACATTTAAATATGAATTGTTTTACTCCAAAATCAATTTTAACCAAAATTAATCTTGTAAAATCAACTTTATTCAAAAATAATTTTGTAATTAATTAATGAGACACGTCCTTACAAATAGCAATATGATAAAAAGGAAAGGGGTGATTGAGAAATGAATGAGAATATATCAATAATTGATTTCTTTCTTAATTTGGTTCCTAAGTAAAAGGGAAGGAAAGAAAAGATCGAGTGGTCAGTGGGTCATACTAAAATAGTAAAATGTAATAATATACTTCCATTTGGACAGAAAAAGGAAACCATTTTAATGTAAAATGATAGAATTGTCCAAACAATAGCTGAAACCCTACAAGGTAATGTCTGAACAAAAATATGTAAAACATGCTCATTCCAAAAAATTTACCTAACATTTGGTAATTTTGTTTTACTTTTTTGGTACAAAATAAATCAAATTGTTGACCAATTTCTTATTTTAAGGACGGTCTTTTTGATATACGCCTTACGTTATGGTGTGATTGTGGTCCTTTTAATAATCTTTGGGCGCAATTCTAATTCCTTATGCCATACACGTTATTATACTGTAAAGAAAAATATAAAGATTATTTTCGAAAGCGTGTTTGATATGATATTAAAAAAATTTACAAGCCAGTTTTATTAGTTTATAAACTAATTTAATTAAAATAAACTTATTACATGTTTATTCTGGTTGTTTCTTATGTATTTTTATAACTTACTTCAATTAGTTTCTGAAAAAAAAAAAACTTCAAAATATTAGCTATTTTTTAAACTTTTTTTTTTCACATAATGTTCTTATTATTATTATTTTCTTTATTATTTTATTTGAATTCTTTTATCTTAAATAACTAAATGTGTTTTTATGTTATTTTACATTTGTCGACTAATCTTATCAAATATTTTTAATTTAGTTAATTAACTTACAAAAAATTTAGCATTCAAGCTCCTAACTTGTGAATTACAAGTTTAAATTATCTTATACGTTCATTTTAATAAACACACTCGAAATATACATTTTATTAAACGTTATTTGACTCTTCGTTCCTTAATAAGAGGTATTGATATTATTTTAGGTACATTCTTTATATTTAGTTTTCTACTCAATCAAACGAAAAGAGATAATTTTTTTTAATTATTAAATAATATATACTAAATTGTATTTTTATCTTCTATTTGTGTCAATATACAATTTTGGGCATCTATTTTAAAATAGAGCTATTTAGTCATCTTATTTAAAAATAAAATATTTTTTTTAGTCATACAGTTAATTTGATATACATTGATTATTAAATTTAAATTTTGATGTTATTCAATAATTTATCACCACTTAAATAATGTGATATTTAATAATGAGATGTTTTAAATATAAATATTAAATAACGTCATTCTAAAAAATATTTATTTATATTTTATTTCAGTGAGTGATTAATATCTTATTTTATTAATAAATTTTATTTGCATGATTTTATTTTTATTTATTTTTTATCTTTAAATATCATATTATTGTACGACACACCACTTAAATATTAGTAAACTTTAAAACTTAATTGTTAATAGATGTTAATTTAATGTGAGGCATAAAAAATCGTATTTGTAATTAGAAAAGTTAATAAAAATTGTACGTAAAAAAGATACAAAGATTATTATTGTTATTATTGATTCAATATGTTTAACATGAATTATAATTATTTGTTAATGCAAAATAGTAAATTTTTCAAGAGAAATGAAGGAAAGAGATTTTATTTATGTTGAATTATATGTTTTTGTTATATTATAATAAAGAAATTGAACATTTTACAATAAGTATTGGACAAGATGTATATCATTAAAATTTGTTTATAGAAGAATTGTACATGATTAAAAGATTTGAGATGTTTTCAACCATCTTAATTTTTTTTTCTTCTCACATAAATCATATTTTTTGAGTTTGTATTTTCAATCTATTAATTTTTTACATAACTAAATAAAGACTGAATTTTTTTAGTAACTAAATTTCAATCAATATTTTATAAAATTGTAGTTACAATAATTAATTGCAGTCAAATACTTTTTAGTATTAATAATTACAAAAATTATAAAATATGTTACAATTGGTATTAAGTAATCAATAGTTTGAATTTGTAATTAATTAGTAGTTATTTATATAATAAAAAATCAAGAGATTAAAATTGATTAAAAATTAGTTATAGCAAATATTAAAATACTGTATACTTATTATTAATTATAAGAAGATTTTTTTTTGTTAATTTATGAATATGTATATTTTATATTTTATTTTAATAAATATTTAACTTATAATTTAATAAATATAACATAGTTTAAAAATATATAACTTTTTAACCTACTAGATTCTATTAAGCTCATTTTCATTTACTGTTCTTAATACCCTTCATATTTTGTTAAAGATATCTTATAATTAACCAAATAACTTCATAAGTTCTCCATGCAATATTATCTCATTAAATGATGACTATTAAGTACATGATTTTTTCGTTAGATCTCCATGCAATAATTCCTCACTTAAAATGACAAATAAATTGCATGTAATTAAAATCGTGTTAATGTAAAAAAATTATTTATTTATTTATCATTTAATTATTAATTGACATTACATTTAATTAATGCTGCATTATTATTATTATATTAAATATGTAAAATAATTTTCACACACAAATAATTTATATTTAAATTTTTTCTCCAATATTAATGCTATCTTTTTACCGATTCTTCAACGCTTTCGTACAAATAGTTATAATATAGGAATACATTAAATAATATATTAATATTAAGCCTTTAAAAATTTTAAATGTAAATTATATCCTATTATAATTTAAGAGTATATAAAATATATTAAAAAAATGTTGTAATTAATAAATAAGAGAATGATTTAAATATTCTATTATAACATTTATTTTTAATGGAACTTAAATATATTGAATAATGAACACAAATTGAATACAAAGAAATGTTCAAGTTTAAATCTTGATCTTGGGTATAAAATAAATTATATTAGGAGAAAAAAATATAACTTATATGCATTCACACATATATCAATCACTTTTTTCGATGATAAATATTTCATACCAATACTATAGTTAAAAAAAAAATAATAAACATAAATATTTGTAATCTATATATTTATATCTACATCTATATATATTGTTAAAGCAAAAATAGTTATCTTAATATTTTTCCCACTCAAAACTACACATCCTCGCTTATTTTTTAAAACTCTCGTGTCTTCTAGAGTTCAAACATTTTTTATTTGTTTTAAAATTGAATTATTGGCCTTTTATTTTTGTGTTTGTAGTATCAAACTTTTTGTTAATTTTTTTTTGTTCTCTGTAAATGGTGATAAAACTTAACAATGACTTGAAAATTATATTATGAGATCGCATAAAATTGGTTTATATGCATACTTTTCCAATGTATATTAATTCTTATATCACACTATGTTATAATAGTCGTATGTTTTGTTATTTAACACCTAATAATGAAAATACTATTTTGTTTCTTTATAGTGTGTTTGGATAGAGAATTTAAATGGAGTAATTCATTTATTTGATGAATTTCAAATTCTTGGAGGTGAAATACCTTGTTTGGATGGAAAATTTACAAGGAATTTGAAATTCAAGCATTTGTGAAATTTTTTGAAATAGTAAAATTTCAAATTCTCCAAAAAAAGT